TTTTTAATATATTATTGCTCCAAAGAAAAGCTTTTTAGTACATATAGATCCAAGTTTTTGTTTTAAGTTACCACGCCAACAAATTTGAGTAAAACATAATCTCTAATATTGTTTAATAATCAACGAGAGATCATACTCTTCACCATCAATACAGAGCCACATCCTTAACGGCGGCGGCAGCAGCCTCGTCACTGATCGAATTTACCAAGTTGAATCGGCAAGATATGCAACGCGGAGACAGAAACCCCGGCGTCTGGTACCGATCTTCCCCTCCCATCATCGGCATCGCCACACCTTTTTTCGCCCGGCTGACGTATCCGGCTCTGTACGTCTGCCCCAAAACCCCTTCCACCTCCTCCGACAGCCTCCCGAACTTGAACTGTATCTCCAAGTGGGCAAACGCGTCCCCCGCCGGCAACCCGTACCCGTGCGTCCTGTTCTCCTCCTCCCCTATTCCCACCGCCCTCACCTCCATCTCCACCATCCCCGACACCATCATCCGCACGCTGTTCGCCTCCGATGTTCGCTCCACCACCACCTCCCCCGTCTGGCTCCGCCATTCTCCATCGGACTCGGCCGGGAGGGCAATCGCGGCGCCGTCGAATAGCAATGAGAGCATGTCCACCGAATCATCCCATACTGCCACGCGCCGAGCGGCGACGATGAGGCTGTGGGACTCAAACATGACGGCGAGGGCTTGAATCCAAGTGAAGTCACGTGAACGCCCGGCGGGACGGATTCCGATGAAGTGAGCGTTGATGTGGAGGTGGCGGTCGGAGACGAGAGCAAAGTTGCCGCCTTTGGAGCCGTGGAAGTAGAACATGGTGCCGTCGCCGCCGACGAACCGGGGATCATAGCAGATGGACCCGAACCCGTTGCAATTCGGCAATCTATCTGTACATGAATCCAAGATCGATTCAGAAAAAAAAAAAGGTTTTTTAAAAACGGGGCAAGCCTCAAAAGAAATGAAAATTTGAAAATTTGGGCATACGCTTGCAGGTGGTTTCGCAGCGGCTGCTGCAATCGGCGAAACAAGCCTTCACGACTCGGTTTTTCCTTGGCTTGCGCTGAGGGCACTGTGCCGGGCACTGAATTATTTTGTATCGACACCTCCCTCTGGAAAGGCAGAAGAACCTCTCCTGACCGGTTTTAGGATTCTTGTCCAGAACAATATAGTTAGTCGATGCCGGATCCAAGTTCCCCTTTCTATTATCGCCCGGTCCAGCCTCCACCACCTCGGCCATGCTAACTCCTCCATCAAAGGAAATCAATTGGATTATCAGTGACACCAGCAGTAGAGTAAAGTTCAGTTTTTTACCACCAATTCTGTTGGCTCCACCACCTCGGCCATGCTAACTCCTCCATCAAACGAAATCAATTGGATTATCAGTAACACCAGCAGTAGAGTAAAGTTCAGTTTCTTACCACCAATTCTGTTGCCCATTTTGATCTGATCAGTGTTGGTTTATAGGTGGTGGAGAAGATAACTGCATTGGGTAGTTATTTATATTGGAGGGGATCATTCTACTGATTTGAAAGAGGGCACGCCGTTCCATGCATTGACTCGATAAAGTTTTGCTTGGATTTGGGAGAATTGCCATGTGCTGGGCCTAATGGCTCGGCGCTTTGTATGTGGATTTCCTGTAACAAGAGCTTGTTTGTGAAGCAAAGTCCATTCTTATTATGCAGATTTGCTTTTTGTTGTTATTATCGTTGAACTCCATAGAAATAGATCTCTCATCCTTCTCTAGCATTATTTGCATGTTACCACAAGCTCGATGACTTCTCTTTGAAGTTCAGCATCAATAAAATAGAATTTCACTGATGTTATACATGTCTAGTAGTATGCTTTGTCAACTTTCTTCTAAGTTTTCTTATTTATAGATTTTCTAATCCATTTATGGCAAAAATTGTGCAACAAGGGACTGGTCCAATAGAAGCACAATAACATATTAAGGGAGTATGATGGTAGCATAAGAAGGTAAATTGTGCCAATCACAACAAAGGTACAACAATCGGCATAGGCATAAGTTTAAAGAAAAATAAAAAGAGGCACTTGCATTAACTAAAAAATTAAAGTGACAATGCATATCAACTGGACCTAATCATGTACATGGAGATCTACACAATGAATCATAGGAGAATATCAAACTATTCGAGTTGGGCTAGATTTGAGAGGAACGATTCGAAGAGGGTAAGGAGTTAATGTCAAAATCAAAGCCATACAAGAGCCACTCATGCTAGACTTTTAGGATGATATGCTTTTAAGAGGAAAGTAGGGCATAAATGAACATAATTCTATCCAAAAAATAAAGAATTTTATTGGGTTAAGTAAAAAAAAGTGCTAGATCAAAAATCTGAGTTGCCTTTTAGTGTGATGTTTGAGTGAATTTTTAATGGTAATCATATTGAATAGCTGAAAACCCCTTGATTGTTTTCAAGGAGTGAGTTAGATGGTTTGCTAAGACGACTAAACAGTTCAGTTGGATTAATTCAACCAAGAAACCTGATCGGTTAACTAGCCATTAAGATCATTACACATATACTCAACCTAGTATGCTCATCAACTAATCTTAGGAGACCACTCACCCAAGAAATCAAAGACATTAATTCACCCAACAAGAGAGCAACCCTTCCAGAAGATCGAACCTCCTAGAAATTCATCTCTCCTAGGAGATCAACTCCCCTAGAATAATCAACTCCCTCTAGAGATCAACTCTCCTCTGAGATCTACTTATCCAGGAGATCAACTCTTCCAGAAATATTAACTCTCTTAGGAGATTACTAGATGTGGAAAGTTCTAGGAAAAATATTTATGAGGATCGATTATCAAGACAAGACTTAACTATCAATACAATACATTACTAAGATAATATTAATTATAATGCCCACTTCAAACGAAAATAGAAAAAGATATATCAAAGAACTCTTAGGATTCATGTGTAAAATATATTTTATTTATAACGTGTAAGTAAAACCCTCTATAAATAGGGGATATCATTGTAATACGATGATGGATTTTAAATACTGAAAGACTTATTTCTTTTCTTATTCTTCCGTCTTTTTGGCGCTCTAACATTTCTATTATTCTAACTCTTTTATTGGACTAACACTTACAATTAAGGATTGGTGTGTCATCAACAAATTCTTGTCATCTGTCATTAATCTCGATGCATTTTTTGAATAATAAGTATTCTAGATTTAAATTCAAGATCATCTAAGGTCCCATTTTAACCTTTGATAAGTATACGAAGGATGATATCTTCCTTATCTAATTGACCGTCGGCCGCAAGAATGTTATTCATAACTATTTTAACCTTTGATAAGTATTGAGTCATGGATTGGTTGCATATAGACATGCTGTGGAGCTCATTTTTTAGTTGAATCAAATGGAATCTATTGGTGGGGTTGTACTCGTTTTGAAATGGTGTTCCACACTTTCGCTGTCATGGAGAAATGCAAAATGTAGGGTAAAATAGAAGATGAGATGATAGAGTAGAGTGCGGTCGTCAAATTTTGATACACAAAAGTCCACATAATGTAGATGGGATTAAGGGTGGGGTTTTCATTGGTAAGGTTAAGAATTTTGGGTGGACAAGGATTGCTACCATTTAAGTAGCCCATAAATCAATTTGTAGAGGAGTTTAGGGACTTGAGCTCTCCATAGGGGGTAATTTTCAGTTGAGAGTTGGATGTGGGAAATGTTTTTGAGATTGCTAATAAGAAATTTAAGACTAGGAGGAATACTCGTTGCTTGTGCCATTTCCACAATATTTTCAAGTGTTTCGGACAATTGGAAGGTTTTAATTTATCATATTGATGCTGAGAGGAAGGAGACTAGAGAATGAGAAGTCGAGAATGCAGGTAATGCTTCACAGGAAGAATCTGAAGCAAAATATTGTTGGTTTCTTTGATACCATAACAACACAGAAGAAAAAATAGAATGCAGAGGCAAGGAATACCGAGAGCAAAAGCAAGTAGTCTAGTTACAGCATATGGATAAATTGTATTTCTATTTCATCAAAGCATTACATACTATCCCTCATCTATTTATATAAAGGAGAAGATAATTCTAGAACAAATCATAATACCACTAGGAGTTAGTTAGGATGCCCATTATTGCTCCTGCATAATCACTAGTGGTGGTGGTCCTACAC